CCTATGGTGAAAATCCCTTCAAAAAAAAAATCATTTTTAATGCATTTAAATAATGGTATGTTTTTCCCCAAAATTAGCATAATATTTTATCTAGCATATATACTATAATAAAAATTCTCACTTATTTTGGAGAAACTTGTTTATACCCAGTTTCTTTAAATTAAATTAAAAAAAATATTTTTGCCAGAGGCCATGGGACTTATTTTATTTCTTTCTTCCATGAGAGAGAGAGAGAGACAAAGAGAGGGCGAGGGAGAAAGTGCCCAAGAGCGGAGTGTGGTCACATGGAAATCCCTTCTCCATCTCTCTATTCTGTTGAGATTTTGGGCACGCATGTGGGCCCAGCTGCTGGGGCCAGAATTTCAACTGCGTGGCCAGCCATGTGGTATCTGGTCCCTTAACTACAGGCTAGGGGGCTGGGCCTCCAGTTTTTTAAAACAATAGTTTATTTTTCCATGAGTGAGTGACAGAGAGAGAGAAAGAGAGAGAGAGAGAGAGAGAGAGAGAGAGAGAGAGAGAGAGAACCGTGACAGGGCCCTGATGCTGTGACCCACCCCAGCCCCAGCGAGCCTTGGCTCACAGGCACCTGCAGGGCAGTTCCGTGGACACCAGCCCCGGGTCCTCCCCTGTGGGCTGGCTCGTGGTGTGGGCTTTATGCTGCTCCACTTCCAGCACCCATTTCTAGTCAGTACATAATACAAATAGCCAGAGGTGAACGTCTCTCATTTGTTAATGTCTGACTCTCTCCGTATCAATTTCTTAGGATAAAAATGGCCAGAAATGTAATTAATGAGCCCAATCATTGTCAAGGATCTTGATACAAATTGTCAAATTATTTTCTAAAACTGTACTATTTTATTCTTTGGCTGTCACTGCAAAATCTAATCAGCACTAAGGTTCATCACTTCAAAAAACTCTGAGACGCCGATGCTAGACCGGAGTCTGGCGTTCGTGTGTCAAGGTCTCTCTACACACGCTGTGCACATGTGTGTGCTCGTGATCACAGCTGGCTGGGTGGAGGTGGACTGGTCCGTGTCTCTCTCCAGGAAGATGTAAATAAGCCTAAAACACAGGTAATCAAGCCAAGAAGTATCTATATATTTTTGGAATTGTTGTTACAAAGTTCTCTTGTATATTGGCTGAAGAGTATTGAAGAGTTGATTTTAAATATTCTCACCACAAGAAATGATAACTCGGTGAGGCGGCAGGTGTTCATTAGCTTAATCATCCTACAATGTACATGTACATCATGTCGCATTGGACCCCACAAACGTATGTAATTATTGAAAATTAGAAATAAAGTATATGATAAAATAAGAAAGTCAGAGAGAGGGAGAGAGAGAGGAACTAGAAGGAAGACAGGGAAAAAGAAAGAAGAGGAAAAAAGGAGAGGAGAATACTTTGGCTTCCGGGAATTTTCTGCTCCTTATTTTGGTTCAGTTTCAGAAATATCAGTCTTTTTTGTTTGTTCACAAGAGTTCTTTCTTCCTTCTTTCTTTCTTTCTCTCTCTCTCTTTCTTTTTTTTAAAGAGGTTTTTGCTATAGGGTGCATGCGCTTGCCAGAAAGAGAGAGAGAGACAGAGAGACAGAAAGCAAGAAATCACCCCCTGGGGGGATGGCCATGCCACAATTCCTTCTTTTCCATTTTCCTTGCGGGATCTTGGGCATGCACGCACACACATATGCCCTGAGTGAGGACTCAAACCGTGGTCGACTACGTGGGAGTCCAGCGACATAGCCATTACGCCAACTGCTGGTCCCAAGAGTTATTTCTTTAAGAGTGATTTCTGCTATAGAGTGTGTGCACTCACTGGAGAGACAGAGAGACAGAAAGCAAGAAATCACCCCCTGGGGGGATGGCCATGCCACAATTCCTTCTTTTCCATTTTCCTTGCGGGATCTTGGGCATGCACGCACACACATATGCCCTGAGTGAGGACTCAAACCGTGGTCGACTACGTGGGAGTCCAGCGATGTAACCATTATACCATCTGCTGGTCCCGTTCAACAGAGTTTTTAAGGTTTGTCATCTAGCCATTTCCCTTTAGTGTGTTGTGCTTTTGTCTTGCAAACGAATGAGAATAGACACTTCTTCCCCCACAACCAGAATAGTCCAGGCCTCTCAGGACAGCTCAGTGCAGTGACAGACTCACCCTTACAGAGGCCTTGTGCCCATGCCCCTCACTACCTGCTCTGGCTCGCGGAGGCGGCCTGCTCCTTACCAGCCAGGTGCACCTCCACGCCGCTGTGGTCGATCATGGTGGCGTTGACCTTGCTGTTGGCCACCTGGAAGTCAGTCACTCTGAGCATGGCTGGCTGCTTCTTCCCCTGGTACTCATAGGCCCCTTTCCACAGCGAATTCTTGGCAAAAACATCCCCAGGAACTAGAGGAGTTGAGAAACAGACCCTGTAAGAGGGACTTGGTGTATGCTGATCGAACTGGGGCTCCCCGATGACTGATCCCAGTTCACTCAATGTGACTGTCCGCTCCTCTCCTGGTCCAACATGTGAGGAGGGTGGTAAGTGTGCTCTGGCTGTCTGGTAATACTCTTGTGGCTCAGAGTGGAGGGGTGAAGGGAATGAAATCGGGATGCTGGGGAGTGGTATCTGGGGAGAGCACGCCCACGCTGTCAAAGATTATCCATGACAGCCAAGACAGGGAATGACTCAAGCCATCAATGGGTACTTTCTCCAATGGATAAAGAAAAGATGGCATTGCATACACAATGGGATACCATAGGTTGGTTGGTTGGTTGGTTTTAGAGGTTTTTGCCTTAGGGCATATGTGCTCACTTGAGATAGACAGAGACAGGGAGAGGGGAAGTAAGAAATCACCCGTCAGGAATGGCTATGCTGCAATCCCTTCTCTTACACTCTCCTCCTGGGTTCTTGGGCACCCACGCACATGCGTCTGGCATGATTTTCAAGCCACTGGGTCTGGGACTCGAACCATAGTCAGCCATGTGGGAGTCTAGTGATGTGACCTCTACAACATCTGCTGGCCCTAACCATAGAGATTTTAAAAAGAAGGAGACTCTTGCTTGTGGCAATATGGATGAATCTGACTGAGGTCACTATGTGAAGCGGAATAAGCCAGGCTCTCGCACTGCATGATCTTTTACATATGAATCTAAAAAATGGTGAACTCAGAGAGAGAGAGCAGAATGGCGGGTACCAGAGGTGAGGCTGGGGTAGGGGGGCGAGGCAGGGGGTGGACAGATACTGGTCAAGGGGCACGAAGTTCCAGTGAGACAGGAAGCGTGAGTTTTGGTCATGCACCTGACTATCACACCTCCTGCTGGTCCCAAAGAGTAGGTTTTACATGTTCTCACTGCTGGAAAAGGACAAGTAGGCGGGCATGGGTGTGTTAACTACCTTGACTGAATCATGCCATAAGCGTGTGTGTCGCATACATACAGTAACATCACACTGTACCTCGTAAAGATACACATACATCATCTGTCAATTAAAAATAAAATATAAAAAAGGGAAGTGAGGGAACCAAAAGGGAGGAAAA